AAAGCCGCAGTCTAAACATTTGTCTTGGTTTCTGGCTCATGATTTTAGAGAAAAGAAGGTAGAATTTATGGAGACACAGTGAAAATGAGTGATACTGGAGAGTGTCAGGCAGAAATGCAGCAGTGAAATGGACCAGCTGATGCTGTGGGCTACAACAGCTGGGTCCCATCATTGTCACTATTTCTCTGCAATCCAACACTCAGAGCATCTTTGTGATATTAACAATACTGGAGTACATTCCCAGAGAATTTGTATAATGGGCTGACTGCACTGCATGCTCCAATCCCAGAGTAACCAAGGTGGTTAGATCTTGTGACTGTGACAAAGAAGTACATTTAGCCACTCTAAAGCAACTGAAGATATCTCCATGCTAGCAACTGTCTTTAGACTATAAGCTTTCACCAACTTCAGCACAAAAGAAACAAACAAAAACAATAGAAACATGTGAAGAAAATGCAACAAAATGTCTCGCAAAATGCCCAACTTCCCTGAAGCCAAAATGGGGAACACCAAAGGAAAGAATAGTACAAGCCACTCAGCAGAGTTTCTCAAAAGCATAGCAGAGAAAGGTAGAAAACATCACAAAGGGACACTCAGTGGGATCATAAATGATAAAACTAAACAGATAATGATTGTAATACTAAATTACAGATAAAACTAAACAGATATTGATTGTAATGACCAAAAACATGCTCTCAGAAGACGCTAATCAAAAGCTTGATTAGCTAAACAAAATAATACAAAACATGAGTGACCAGTATACTGAATAGTTAGAGGCAATAAAGGTTACAATAAAGAATTCATGAGATTAAAAATAATACTGAAAGTATGGGCAGCAGGACAGACCAACGTGAGTTTCAGAACTAAAGGACAATGATGTCTTCAAAGACCAACTTCTCAATGACACCTTGAAAACAAAAAGAAAAAAATGAAAAATGTATCCAACAACTTCCAGATGACACAAAGAAGATCAACCTTAGAATAACAGGAATAAGAGAAAAATTAGAAGATAGTGCAAATGACATTAGGAAAAAACCTATTCACAAAAATAATGGTAGAAAATGTTCCAAGTACAGAGCAAGAAATAAACCTACATCCAATATGTGCATGGTATTCTCATAGTGAGCACCACTCAAAAAGAATTAGACAGAATATAGAACACCAAATAACCATGACTACATTGCACTCAAAGTTTAGAAATTCATTACAGGGACAAAATCTTAAAAGCTTTAGAGAAAGGCCATAAACCCCACACAAATGTAAACCCATTAATATCACAACAGACATATCTTAAAGGGCAGGAACAGTCAGAATGAAGTGTTTTAAAACAATTATTAATAAATTCTGATCAAGCTGTGTGGAAAAAGAAACTCTTTTCCGCTGTTAAATGACACAACCCCTCTGGATATCAATATTGAGAGTCCTCTTAAAGCTAAAAACAAAAATTCTATTTGGCCCAGCTAGTCTACTTCTTTCTAAAAGAGTTAAAACATCATTCTATAGTAATACATGCATACCCATGTTTATAGCAGTGAAATTCATAATAGCTAAATCTTGAAAACAGTCAAGCTACAGCAAACATCAACCAATGAACGGATAAAGAAAATGTGGCATTCATATACAAAAAAGTACTACTCTGGAATAATTACGGATAAACTTGAGTCATTCATAGGAAAACAGACGCACCTTCAGACCATGATGTTACGATATTAAGCAAAGTAATCTGACCAAAGTAATTCTAACACAGAATCTTAGATATCACAATGTTTCTCTTGTATTAATATACATTACATATTAAAGTAGGAAAAAATATTACAATCCAGCACAGATAATGTATCCAAAAGTATACCTTGATTTAGTACAATTTTCTTACATATTTTATATGTTTTTATGGCCTGTTAGTCTGTTTTTAATCTGCATTTAAAATTAATAATTTTATAAAACATTATAAAATAAGTAAGTGAATATAATGATGGACGAAGAAGTGGCAAAAGGAATGGGAAAATAATTGAAAATCAAAATGTGTTACGTACACATACCAATCCCCAATGGTGAATGTATACATTATGTGCTGGAAACATGCGCTAATGAAGGTCAAATGAAGAGGATGATAACTTGATCTCTTCCTTTCCTGAATGTATTCTCTTATTTCTTTCTCTTGCCTGATTGTTCTGAGTAACATTTGGAGGACTATGTTGAGCAGGAGTGGCGATAATGGATGTCCTTTTCTTATACTTGATTTTTTACAAAAAGCTTTCAGCTTTTGTCACTTGATATGATTTAATAGTAGATTTACTATAAACCATTTTTATCAAATTAATGTCTTTCCCTATTTATTCAGGCTGTATTTTGGATTTTGTCGAAGGCTTTTTTTAACCTACTGATAAGATTATGGGATTTTTGTACCTGCTTCTGTTTATACGATATATTCATTAAACTGCATATATTGAGCCATACTTGCATTTCTAGAATGAAGCCTGTTGGTCATAATGTATGATCCTTTTGGTGAGTTTTTACCATTTGCCTGTATTTTGCAAACTGGCATTATCATTTGATTCTGGAAATCGCTTAATTTCCTCCTTGGTTTCTTCTGTGACTCACTGACTATGCAAGCATGTGTTTTTTAATATCTAGGTATTTATAAAATTTATATATCATTTTGTTTCTAGTTCCAGTGTGCTATGATATATAGTACACATGGTATAATATTGAATCTTTTTTATTTACTTAAGCCAACTTTGTGGGCTAGTCTGTGATCTATTTTGGAAAAAGTTTTTGTAGGCCGCTGAGCAGAATATGTATTCTGTTGCAGTAAGGTAAAACATTATAGATACTCACTAAGTCCATTTGTTTAAAGGTATGATTGAGCTCTGATATTTCTTTGCTTTTTTGTTTCATAAATGGTTGATCTGTTTGAGAAAGTGGGGTACTGAGGTCTCCCATTATGATTGTTTTTATTTGATCTTTTATGTTGAGTAGTGTATTACTGACTGCACCAGCATTTGGTGTGCATGTATTTACAATTGTCATTTTGTGTTTAACCCTTTTCTTAACTAATACATAGTGACTTTCTTTGCTTCTTGTGATCAGTTTTAGTTGAAGCCCACTTTGGCGTAGGATAACATTACTACCCACGCTTGCTAATACAGTCCCAGGAGACTGACCACAGCTGCACTGTCTTTTTACCTTGGGCTGTTAGAACCATTCCTAAGATCTGTGTTAATCACTTTTCTATTGCTACAAAAAGGAATCCAACACCTACAACTGAGGAAGAGAGGTTTGTTTGGGTTCACAGTTTCCAGAGGTTATTTTGCTCTGGGGCAGAAATAGCATGAAGGAAGAAAGCCACTCACATTATGGCAGTCAGAAAGCAGAGAGAGAAGGGAGAAGCAGAGAGCAAGAATACACAGCCTGTATCTAAAAGACCCACAGCTTTTGATTAGACCCTACCTTTTAAAAGCACAATCAAGGGCCGGGGATTTAGCTCAGCACGCACAAGTGCTGTTGTGAGTTTGATCCCCGGTGGTACCAAAACAAACAAGCAAACAAAAGATAAATAAAAGCAGATTCAAACATGAACTAATCAATGTATTAAACCACTGATGAATATAGTGCCCCCCATGACACAGTCACCTTTCAAAAGACCCATCTCTGAGTACAGAGATTTTGGAGAACATTTCTGATCTAAACCATAGCAAACATCATCAAATGCTTTTTTCTCCATCCTTGAAATTATGTTTTTTACTCATATTTCAAAATGTTAATTAATCTATATTATTAGAAATATATATTAGAAATATATATTATTTGACCTGTATTGTTATATTGTTATGTCCTGTTTTATCTCAATCTCTCCCTTATTCTTTAAAAAAATTACTTAGTTATTTTTTATGTTTGTTTTAATTAAGGGGAAAAATTTTAAAAAATTAGCAGGATATATAATAGTAACTCTTTTTGATTTCCTATTAACTTGTTTTGAAGTCCTGTAATACTCCCACGATCTTGTTTTGACTGATTAGACTCTGTTCCATTCTGTATGATAGTATCAAGTTTGAGGGTATAGGCAACTACTTTGAAGGCAATAAGATTCACTAAGATGCCCATTCTGGTTTGACTATTGTCTCCTTTGGAAGTCCTGTAATGTTTACAATGCCTAAGATTTATTGGTCTTGTTCTCTACTGTTTTGTCCAACTTTATAATATCTAATGAGATAGACAATTCTTTTTAAGGAAACAAGAGACAACGTTGATAACCATTGTTGATAACCTTGTACTCTGTTTTACATCATGAGCTATGTCTAGCCTTGGTTTTGACTGACAGCTTTGTTTTGCCATATTTGACTTTATTCTCTCCCCCCCCAAAAAAGTAATAAGAACTAAGGAGTAATAAAATCCAAAATGTGTAAATTTTGTTGTAAAAAAGAGAGGGGAAAAAAAAGAGCTCTAACGGATATAACAGCAAGTGTGTTTAGGGGTGTTAAATAGCTGACTATATTAATGTTTTTGGATCATTGAACACAGCTGTTTGCAGTCTCTCTGTTTGAATGTCCACTTTGTAATCTTTGATACTGTGATTTGAGCAACTATTTCTAAGATGATAATATGTAATCTATTAACAGGTGATTTCTTACTGTTTTTTTGTTTTGTTTTGTTTTGTTTTTTGTAGTTCTGTATTACGTGTACCCTTACACCGCTTTGTTTTGTTTTGTGTTTTTCTCTTTTTCCTTTTAAATAAAATTTTTTTAAAAAGAAAGAAAAAAATCCATGTTAGTTGATTATTCTATTTTGTGTGTTTTTGGATTTAATTTTCTCTTTTTTATAAAAGATTGAAATTTACATGAGTTTTTACTACAAAAGCAGGGGAGAGGGCTTCAGATTCTGGTATCCACCAGGGAATACCCTCTTTATTCTACACAGTGTTTACTCTGAACAGTATCATCTGTATGATACGTTTTGACTTAGAAGAAAGTATGAAGACACAAATGTTAGGAAACAGAAACTGAATTGCAAAATCTTTATCCCTTTTATGATTCAGAAATTGCATGTTTCTTCCATTGCAAGATACAATCTGAAACAAAACCATTAACTATATTCTTCTAACTGGATCTTCACTCATTACTACACTTTCAACATTCACTGGATTGGCCTTCTTCTCACAAGCACTATAATATTTTGTAGTGCAGTGATTGTAAACAACCATGCTTCTATATATATATCCACAATACATCTTATTTATGTCATTCACGTTTCTCATAATCCTGTAAGAGAAAAATTTTACACTTAGAAATTTGTACAACTAAAATACTTTTACAGAAAAAAATATTTTTGCAGCATGATATTATTATTTCCAGGGCCTCCATTGTCTAAGGTAAATTTGACTTTGTGTTCAAAGTATTGAAAGTGCCCAAGTTGATTATTTTAATTGACACATATATATGTGAAACACTGGTTTACCCCCTTCCCAATACCATCTGTCCTACTTTTCCAAATCTGAAATATTTGCTGTCATTTAACTTCAAATATCAGACCTACTTCCATATCTAACATGATTTAAAATAATGTTATTTCATAAAGTTCTGTACCCTAGCACAACAGCAAATTTGTTTTCTTCAAATATTTTCCATAATCATCAAAACCGGAGATTAACTTGTGAACCTTACATTCATTATCATTGTATTCCATAATAGCCTTTCCATTTGCCATAATTATAAACCCATGAATATTCTGCCTTTCCCAAACAAGATTACACCTGTATGTTCTCCTAATGTACTCATTATCTTTACTTTCACCTAAGTGAAACCTCTAAGATCAATATCCGACCCTTTATTTGTACACCTCTTATTTCCCATCCTGTTTTCTCATAGCCATTTACCAAATACAGAGCCATCTTGTCTTTATGACCCACACTTCAACAACTACTAGTGCTTTCTAAAAGCAGAAAATAAACAAAAAGCTCATATTTGTTGTATGGGCTGGAATGGTGAGTATGCAGAAATATCAGTATTTTATTCAGCCCATTCTGGAAGGATTGCCCTGACCTCTTTCCCTGCTGGCAATGATAAATATTGAGCTTCTAATATTATCAAGCAGATGAAGATTCTGGAATCTTACTTTAATACTGAACATTTTCCAAATTTTAGGGATTATAAAATAAAAAGGGAATTTTCAAACTTTTTGCATCTAAAGCCTTGGTTTTTTTCATTAAGAGCAGAATAAATACAGTATATAAAGTCATTTATAACAGTATAAAGTCACATTCCTAAATAGATTCCACAACACATTCTTTAATATATTTATGTATGCCATATAAACAATACAACATGCTAGATCATATATTATTTATTATACTGAAACACTCTTCTCATTCATGTATAAATATTTCAGCCAATTTTTTTTATTTTAAATATCAAAGATAACAAAACTTTCAAAGCAAAACTAATTTTTGGTTATTCAGGGCATTCTGGTTTAAGCATTTCTCACATTAACTTCCTTTTATTCTTTGAGTAATTTTATCATTCTGCACATATTATTTATGCTTAAGTAAACTTAAGAATGAATCTTTTATTTATCTTCAAATCTTAGAATTTAGCCCAGTGTTGTATACTTGTACAGTTCAGTGAATTTTGTTGGCTTCTATAATTTTCTCTCACACAAGCATTATTTGTAGAAAAACTTCCCAATTTTAGTGGTTACAAAAGGCACATTAGAGTTGATCAAAATAATGATATTGCTGGGGATGTAGCTCAGCAGTACAGTGCCTGACTAGCAAGTGTGAGACCCTGAGTTCGATTCCTGGTACAAAAACTAAAAATGATGATGTTTGTGGCAACTTTCTGCATTAGAAAGGCTAGCATCAGTAAAGGATAGTAAAGAATGCAATCTCAGATGAAGCTGGTTCTAATTGCAGTCTGCACTGCTCCTAAGGAAAATATCTCAATCTGAACCTGATTATAAATATTCAGCAAGAATCAAGAGTTACCTGGCAGAGGAGACAATGATCTTATCAACTTCCTCTGAGTTTCTGCGATCTTTTTCTGGAGGTAATCCCAGCCAGTAACTATATAAATTCTTGGATTTTACAAATTCCTATAGTAAATAAAAATGGTTTCTTTTCAATATTGTCTTCTATTTCTATGTATTACCTTAATTGCAATTTGTTGCAAACAACTGAAGATAACATTTTTTACATTAGTCTACTTATTTTCCATGCTATTTAAAAGAAATAGAAAGCATTTCTTACTGTGAGATTTTACATTGTCAGTTTTACATTGTCACTTCCCATCTCACTAGAACAAAGAACCCACTAGTACATCCATCATGGAAAGTTCACAAGCATCTGGATTTGAATATTTGACCAGTAAATATTTACTCCAGAGACAAAAGAGGTAGTTAATGACTGTAAACAAGAGCTAATAGAAAAAGAAGAAAGACAACTCAGTCATAGAGTAGAATTCAGGACTGGCCCAGAATTTTATAACCAAAGTATAAATATTTTCCTCTTATTCCAGGCTTTAAACGAATTCATTCTTGAGTGAGTAATTATGTTGAATCATGACCTAAGAGAAGGAGATTATAGATTGAGTTCTCCTCTTCTATAAAGGATGAAAATATTCTTATAGTAGGGGAGCTGAGAATTTTAGAAAACTTAAATTTGCTTTAAAATATAATTATTACTACAAATATCAGAAATGAAAAATAATAATTGAAATATAGATAGGTTATTTCTACCTGAAAAGAATAAAAAAGACATAAGAAGAGAAAAGAAAATGAAAAAAAATAAAACTATCGGAGATGTCCTTTTTGCTGTGCTCAGTGCAACATATTTGTTTGGAATGTGCTAAATAAAAAAAATCCTCCTGGGTAGTTTTGATGGGATTGGTAATCTTCAGGAATAACCTCCAGATTCTATGTTTTTATAAAATATTCAGAAACCATGTTCTGAGACTTCATTCCAGAATTTCCACTTGGAAATGTTCACAGATCTGAAGTCTCTGGGCACACTTTATTTACCCATGAGCTTCTCAAAGACTTTGAGACTAAGGTCCTAAAATAAGGTTGTATAACATTTTCCTTGCCTGTGATTCTCTGAAAGAGAAGAGCAAAGTCTCAGTCATCACTCTTCTAACTAAAATAAGACAAAATTGTGAGTGTGTGTCTTCATCAATCCACTATCCTCCTGCATTGTTGGAATAATGGGAAAAAAAGCTTTCTTTCCTCACAGGGAAAGAGACATAAAGGTTTACCAATGTAGTACTCTCTTTAATCTTCAACAAGCTGGCATTTTGAGCAGAACATGATATTTCACTCTCTTTCCATGTTTGATACATTTCAGATAATAAATAACAGTTATTCTTGTACCACATCCAACCATTTGGACAAGGTTTACATTTGTGCCCTGCAAGAAGAACATAGTTTTATTTGGTTTTATGATAGACTTCATCATTGCTATAATTTCCTTTACTCTATATGACACTAACAATTTACTGGGATTTTTTCAAGTCAAAGGAAAAGAAAATGAATCTGGTATTCAAGATCTTTATATATTATCGCAAACCATATGAGACATAACTTGACCAAAAATTCAAGGTAAACACTTGGATTTACATGTATAGCCCTATATCACGTAAAAATGAAAAATCTCCCTTACTCATTTTTTAAATTTAGGTATGGAAAAAAAAACCTAGTCACAGGAAGAATTTTGTATGGTAAAAATCAGCCCCACATATCTGCATGAATCTTGATTTCTTCAATTTGAGTAACAGCAGTATCTCACAGTCATCAGAAGCTTACTTTAGTCACAAACCCTGCTGAAATATATAGAGCTATATAAAACCAATTATCCCCAATTCCAAATGTAAAACTGATAGTATATTTCTTTCCTATGGCCTTTTAGTCACCAATCATTGAAAATTACAAATAAGATAATCTATGAGGTGCCCCTATCTTCCTATCATCAGGGCATCCCAGTGCCAAAAGAGAATAACTGCTGATTAGAGAGACTGTTTCATTCTCATCCCCTGATAACATGATGACTTGCAGTGATTATTACTCATCTTCCTCCAGCTATATAGAAATATGTTTGTACTCCACCACCCACACTTAATTCTTTCTTCAAATGCTAAAATGTCCCCACATTGAAAGGATGCTAGGAAGGAATGAAGTTTTATTATTTATTTTCTAGTAAATAACTCTGAAAATAATACAAGGTTACCTGGTTCTTCCCTGTTCAGCTCACGGCATAATTTAGTGGCCAAATTTTGCAAAGTGATAGAGAGATTTCTTATGTTTTCAGATTTATTCATGTTAGTTATCAGTTGGATGGAAATGTTTCTCTGAAGTTCTTCTTTGACATTTTGCAGTTTATTCAGTTTTCCTGTTTCTATCTTCCAAGTGGTATACACTCCAGATAAGAAAATGAGGGACACAGAGAGGGAGGGAGAGAGACACGCAGACAGAGACAGACAGAGAGAGAGAGAGAGAGAGAGAGAGAGAGAGAGAGAGAGAGAGAGAACAAATTGTAAAGCATGTTGAATTTGAACCTTTAAAAACATTTGTAAAAGTAGTGTTTGAAATACTAATGGCTAGAGGTAAAGTTACTATACAGAAGTAGAGAAAGCGATCAAGTTTACATTCTACTTTATAGTATAATCCCCCTTATTATAAAACTCCATTCAAAAAATAACCTTTGGACATGAAACCCACAAAATGTTGGACCCTTTAATCAAATGATGGGTAATACATACACATGCTTCCTAAGATTCCTAGTCCAATGAGCAGCAAAAGGCATATGAGAGTCAAGATCAAGGTTGTTTGACGCCATATACGGGAAGAAGCAGGAAGTGCTACGGAAATCAAAATTAACCAAGAATTTTAGAAATGGAACACAATTTAATTTCATTTACGCAATTTGTCTTTATTTCCTAACACCACCTTCTGGATGAACCTGGTTTGCTAGAGATTCAAAGACATTTAAAAAAAAAGAAAAAAAAAAAAAAACCTAGTAGATTAAAACAAGAATCAGTGAGAAAAGGTGAGTTTTGCATGTGAAATGGAAGAATGTCAAGTGGTCAAATGATTTCAGAAATGAAGTGTCAGAGACTAAATATATAACAGGCAAGGATGAAAACTCAGTCAACACAGTGTATTCTACCGCTCACAGTTGAGTAAAGTGAATGGTACCCAGTGAATAGACATTAATCTGAGTAGCCTTTCCCTGTGTGGAGAGTTGTGGCTTGTGAAAGAAAACAGCTTCAGGGTCTATGATTCCCCTCCCCTATATAATTGTTTGAGCTTGGCTGTCTCTTCCTAATGACTGGTGGGCTCCTCATGAGCACCTCCATGCCAATTCCTCATTAAAATTTTTCATGTTTTACGTTTTTAGAAAGAATTTTGATTGAATGCTGCTTCTTTTTTTAACTGGACAGTGAACCTCAGAGCACATCATTTCCCTATAAAAATTATGAAATGTATATTATCAATTATTATTCAATTATCACAAGATTTAAATTATCATCATGGGACAACATGCTATTTTAAAGAAACTACAAGTCAAGGGCAATATGATGATCTTACTATACTTCTTAAATATGTTTCATACCTCTCAGTTGATGGGACAATATTGTAAAATTCAGGAAGAATTAAAAATGAGATAATTTCTTTAAATATTAGAAAACTATTATTAATGAAAGAATCAAGATCTTATGTATGATTATAATTACAAATTCAAGTGCTATCTTTTATGCATATTATTTTTTCATTTTTATTTATGCTCAATCATTTAAAATTATATAGTGAGTACCTTCTATATACTAGATAATATTGTGGATGCTAAGAAGTGTGGAGGTAGCAAGATATGCAAGACTGTTCTCATGGACATACATTTTATAGTGAGGAAATAAAGTGATAGGTTCATTTAAGTTTGGGCTAGAGGATGCAAAAATCTGAAACTGAGTTATATAAAGTAAAGAGTTCAATGGAGAGCAGCATGCAAGACAAATGGAAAAAACATTGCAAATAGGAAGATCTGGTTTGAAACCTATAATTTGATGGAAAATGTGTTTATTTCAGAAACAATAAATTCAGAGTGGCTGAAGTGTTGTGACCATTGTGAAAAATGATTTTTTAGGATGTCAAGGAATGAAATGAGATTTTGACGTGAAAATGGGAAAAAGGCTTTGCATGTCACAAGGGTACTGGTCGTAAGGAAACAGTTGGCTGTTATTGTACTTGGAGTTAAATGACTGAACAAGATAACTTAAAGGAACATATTGAGTGACGTAAGAAAAGGAGAACCAGAACACAGCCCTAGAGTTTTCATCAAATAGTTTGATATAGAAGGAAGAACAAAAATAAAAACACAACAAAATCCCACTACAAACCAAAACAAACAGCTTCCACCCTCAACAAAACAGCTAGAGATAGTAAAAATCATGAGGATGTGTCCAGCAGCACAAGCAAAAAGAAGTTTTAAAAGATGGACTGTTAAGATTTTTTAATGCTCCAGAAAAAAAAAAAAAATGGGGGACTGAAAGGATAGAAATGTGAGCGCTGGGATGAAACAAGGTGGCCACAATTGACTTGACTTTTATAAAAACTGTCTCTGTGGATCAGTGAGGAAAGAAGCCTAATAAACTCAGCTGAGAAGGGAATAAAGGATAAAGATTTGGGAGCCAGTGACCCAAATTAATGCTTTCAAACTCTGTCTCTCTGTCTTTCTGTCTCTCTGTCTCTCTGTCTCTGTCTCTGTCTCTCTCTCTCTCTCTCTCTCTCTCTCTCTCTCTCTCTCTCAAACACACACACACACACACGCCAGCATTTTATTATGAAAAAAATAATATTATTAACTTTCCTACACTATCTATGTTTCTTGTTCTATAGCTTCTTTTCAAGCAAGAAAAAAGACTATAACCTAGTCTTTTTAAAATGCTTTCCTGTCTCATATGTCTGGGCTGTGAAACTAAAACATAGAAATGTTTAAAAGATTGAACATGTCCAATGAACTGGCCAGTGTGAAAAAAAATCCTTGTAATCATTTTTATATGAATTCTGAATTTTTGCTAAAAATGAAAGGCCTAATTAAAAATTCAAGTTGAAAGAAAATTGATATAATTACTAAGTTACCAACATATCTATAGCTCCAAAACTTACCTTTTGTTCCAGACCTGTCAAGTTCCTGAATATTTTCTGTCTTTCTGGATTCTGGGAGTTTTAGACTTGCATAAGTAATGTCTTCAGACATTGGCAAATGTACAAAGCTCAACAACTGTTTTTTAGGTTCGTTTGCCTGTTTTTAAAGATGAAAGCCAGCTGTCGTCTTTTAAACAGGATCTTTAAGTTTAAGCTTCTTTTGTAACCTAGTGTACTCTTTCTCATGTGTCTGCAAATAAGCTTTTGCCCAAATGTGGCACTAGAGCAGACAACTGTGGCAAGAGGAAGCATCTTTCTTCCTCATATTTCTTTCTCTTCCTAATTTGCTTATACTTAGCAACTGCACCAAATAGTTTTTGAAATGATGCTTCAATAATATTACTACCAAGCAAGGGTACACAAATCATTAGCATCATTTGGTGAAAATATAGTACCAGATTTATTTTCAAGCAAAGAATTATGGGAAAAATGTAATTCTCAAGGCACTAATCCACATCAGTAGCCTGTGTTCTGTGTGTATTATGTCCAAGATCTGATAAAAGGATGCCTTATCCAGGACAGAAGCATTTACACAGAGGACTCAGAGAGAATAAAAAAATAAGGAACATCCCCTCACTTGTGTGAGCTTAAAAAGAGACCAATGAACACCTAGTTTCTCTAGGTAACAAGAAATCTACTCAAAGAACTTTGGTTCCAGAACTATACAACAGTTTTTATTTTGTACCAAAGGTACATGGATAAAGAATCTACGAACAAATTTGCAGGATAGAAAAACAAGGATTAGCCTTTCTGTCTCTCTGTAGACTGGCACAATGCACGTAAACCACTTACCTTAGTTGCCAAAATGAAGAAGGGCATGAAGTACCCAGGTCAAACAGGTTTGTGTCTTATCAGTTTGACTCAACATTCCTAGTATTCTTGATCTCATTTCTTGATCAGTACGCAAGTGGAAGAATGAGGTGGACATTGCTTTTGATCAGTTCTTGTCTTAATTTTCTTTAGTAATCTTCCTTTGAAACTACCAGTGATATTCTGCATGTAAATAATATAAAATAGAGGGATACTCTATTATTTTTCTAAAAGGAAATGTATAAATATCTTCAAAGAATCTTGGAAATAACTCGAATGCGCATCTACTGGGGAATGGATAAAAAAGATGTTTTTTTTAAAAAAAAATATAACAGACTACTACCCAGCCATAAAGAAGGATAAACTGGAGATTTTTATAGGTAAATGAATGTAACTCGAGACCATACTTGTAAGTGAAATAAATCAGACCCGTATGTGTAAATATGTCTTACTAGTGTGAGAAACTGAATGAGTAATAAGATCCAAAGTGTACAATGGATATTATGAATTGAGATGAAACTGTTCCAAAGAAAACACACATGATGAGGGAAAGGAGAAAGGGAGAAAGAGAAAAAGGAAAAAATACGAATGCATAAAATAGTTAAGATAATTATACAGCTACTTTCTCTCAGTTCATTTAAAAGAAAGATTTATGTTAATATTGTTTGGACCAGATATCATGCCTGTATCTTGTTCTCTGAATAACAACTACAAAGACAACAATACACATGTATTAACTATTATAACTGTCATACTAACCAGTTTTGAAACTTTGTTTTTTTTTTATCATTTTCTCTATAAAAAAAAGAATTACATGTAAAAAAAAGAATTTAGTTAAAAGATTGTTTTTGTCATGTCAGGACAGGTAGAGAAAATAAAACCATTCTCCACAATAGCTAATGAAAATATGTAGAAAAATCATTAGTTCAAATTAATAGATATTTGCACAACCAAAATGAAGAAAATTTTGCAACTTTTATAGAAAGAATAAAACTCAAATAGTCAAATATTTTGGGATTGAGCATTACTAAATTTATCAAAATACTTAATGTGAAGTTTATTAAGACATCAACAAGTTTTCCTTGATATTTATAAGACTCTTGTATAGTATAATTAAACACAGCTAGAAGAGAGGATTTTGAATACTTTGATTATAGATAAATGAAAAACACTTGAGAGAAAGGATAAGCTAACTGTACTAAACATATCCTGAATGGATCATCCTGCAATGTATAAATGTACTAAAGCTTTACACTGTAGTCCATACAGGTGAGGTCTTACACTTGTTACTTATTAATAAGACAACAGTGAAACAGGCTATCAAAATTCATTGTAATAAACCAGACACATGTCTAAATACCTGTTTCTCTCTGATATAAAAAATTAAAAGTGTGAATAAGGACCAATATATAATAGATCTTGTGAAATAGGAAAAAAAGTTTTAAATGAGAAAGGGCACAAAGGAGGAGGAGAAAAGAAAAAATAGAGAAGAGAGAAATAAAACAGAAATAAAGTTTTTGTAAATAAGAAGAGGAGTAGAAGAGAGGGAAAGAAATGAGCAAAATTAAGAATCAAGAAAAATAATGTACAGGTTCAAATTCCATATAATGAATGTGATCATTATGAATACCTATCACTATAATTAATGATAAAAAATTTCATCTGAAAATATAAGCACAAAAATATTGCCAACAAAATTTACAAGAAAGAATATTCAATAGATAGGACTATTATTTCATCTTACTAATACTTCTCTCAGTTTTGCAACTCTTTAAACCAAGGGCATTTTTACTCTTACTTGGCAGATGGGAAGTAAAGTAAGACGTGGTTAAGATCTTACCCAACACCACAGAGGGGCACAGTTGAAACTCGGTCAAATAATCCTGGCTGTTATTTCAGATGCATACTCACAGGAGTTGCAGCACCTCTTTGGATAAGAACACAGCCTCTCTGTTCTTCATAAGTATCAATATCTGTGTATAAAGCATAAAATCATTAACATTTTAGAAGAAAACTTACAAATATTATTTTCGAGTACAAAAGATGTTTCTAAATAAGAGGAAAAGTCTTTGAAGAGTGACATATTTGACAACACAAAAATTAAATGTATTTGGCAAAATAAAGTAAAATTACAGAAAACTGAGAAGATCTGGAAGACACAGATATTAGCTCTACAAAGTAAACAATTTCCAACAGATTTGATCTCTTTTATCTTCTGCATTGACTCATTTATTCAGATGAACAACAAACAATTCTACCAGCTCCTATATCACTGTAGGTTAATACTAATTCAGTCATATTTCCAAATGAACCCAAAATATTAGCTACTACCACAATAATTCATAAGTTGGCAGTGTTGTGCAAAGTTTAAAGATTCAGTTACAAAAACACTTTGCTGTTGGCATCTTTCCACATAGAGCTGATCATAAGCTCTAAGCCAGAACCATAGTTCCCTTTTCTTATCCCTTATTCTGCATTTCTTTTACCTTCCTACAGCCATTTTCATTATTAATTTAATAAATTTAATTTGATCGTAATGTTAATCCACATATCCAATCTCTGAGGACTGTCTCCTTAGCCTTGTTTATAAAGGGCTACTATAACTTTCTGTTTACATATTTTCTTGCTTTCTCTTGAAAGTACTCAGTAGGAACCTCAGTGGTTCCTTGGGATCTGTATGGAAGCTTGTTTGTCCCAGTGTGGAGCCACAGCACAAGTTACACTTAGTATCTGAACCTTTTATTTCAAAGAATACCACTGATTGTTCTAGAATTCTGTATCAATTTCCGGTTCAGCACAACTGTAACTATCTCCTCTGATTACAAACATTACATTCTTTGACATGTGGATTGCTCCCAGACAATACACAGAACAACAACTCCTGCTTTCATATACATCAGTTCTCAGACAGTTGATTTGAGGTAAGGGAACATGTGTGAAGTCCAATAAATTCCCATTTATTACCCCTTTCATGGTCTTGAAATGAGTTCTCTGTTAGAGAGCCTGTTGTAAGGAACATTACATAAATATGTTGCTCTGAATTTTTGCAATCCAGAGCCATCTGAATTCTTTCAGTATGTATAAAGTAGTTTCAAGTTCAAAAAAGGCTATTTTCACTATATTTTTATTACTTTTATCTTAACACATATGGAATTTTAGAATCATTTGGTACCAAAAGCTATCCTCCCTTCCTTCCTTAACATTTTCATTCTTGGATTTCATCTTGCCTTTTCTCAGTGTCTCCTTCAGTTATTCTTAATTTCATTTATTTATTACGATGCTAAAATTTTCATCTACTCGAGTAGTTATCGGGTGATTGAAACTCTATGTTTTTCTCTATGCACTTGAACAAAAGAATCATTTTAAGCTAACTGCCTAATATCAACAGTTGGATTCCAAATCTCACAAAATGTAGCCTCAATACTGTATTTTTACTCCTTTATGTCGAAAAAATTTAAATACTCTTTCTGAAGTAACTCATGTCAGAATTTAGTGCTACAAAAATATGAACAAAATGGGAGAAATTACAGGCCTGTACAGAGGTATGGAGGTTTAAAAGAAGTGGTACATTCTGAACAATCAAGAAATATTTCCTGACAAAACAGTGAAATAAATTTGAAAAAAAAAAAAAAAACTCTAAGACAACCACGTGATTCCAAAAAACACTGCATATTTATTTTAAAAAGTAATTTGTGTGACTGGAATAGTTCTTAACTCTCTTCCTCTCTTCCTTCTCATCCAGTAGGATGATCAAGGAAGAACTCTAACTCATTATATTCAGCCACACCTGTGAACCAGGGAAGAATGCACAGGCAAGGATCAGAGGACAAGGAAACCGATGAAGCTAAAGTTTTTAAGTAAACAACTGTAGTGCCCACAGAAATTTACTTTATTCTTTTATTCTATTAAATTCATTCTGAAACTTAGATTTCTCCACACTCAGATAGTTTGAGTTCAGACCAGGTCTCCTGTGGCCCTTCAGAAACCAGAAGAATCTCATAACAGGAACTGTAAGGTCAGGTCAGCACACCAAAACACCAAGCTTTTTAAACTGAAACTTCCTGTCTGAGATGCCACCTTTCAGCTGGTTCCCCCTCAACTTTATGGGCTCACTAGACTTCAGCCTTACAATTTATTGCATGGAAATCCTCTTGAATATACTTTCTGCTTTTTAAAATTTTTATTGATACATGTGCACCGTGTATAGCAATTACAATCATCGCGGGGGGTTGATGCATGTATGCAACATATCCTAATTCTTTTTCTCATCCCGTCCCTTCCCTCTCCCTTCTCCCCACTTCTTGCTCCCATTCCCTTTCACAAAATATTATTGCACTGTAGTAAAGTACACAGAGTATGCAATTTCCTATCTTAATTGTTTGGAAGTGTACCTGGCAGTGTTAAGTGCAAACAC